TGGTCATCCAGTGCATTCTCTCTTTCCTGCTGTCAGGTGGTCCTGGGATGTAACCATCTCAAAAATCCCAGAGAGGGGCTCCTCAATCCACTTGAAGTGAGTCAGGCAGGAGGCCAAGCTGCCATCCATAAAAACTGACATATTATTGCAATTGCTTGAGCATTCCTGCCAAAAGCTACCCTTTACATCTTTTATTTGTATTCCTTTATTTGGTGATGTTACCTAGTTCTTGAAGTTGTTAGATGGAAAGTCTATAGAACCAATTAAGTAGAGACTCATTTTTCTGATCTACCCGGCAAATCATAGGCATAATACCTTACTGGTAAGCAAAGCACCTGGGCCAACTACTATTTCCTTTATAGAGAAATAAAGAGAAAAAGAGGATACACCAAATGTCATTTCACTACATAGTTTCTTTGATCTGTTTGTCACTTGCAAATGTCTTTCCTTTGATCTATGAATGATCTGCTTGCTATAGGCTAGGCATTATATTAACAATTTTACCTGAAATTTCATTCCATCTAGATCAGTCCTATAGGGGTGGCGTTCTCCTTCCATACAGGAGAAAGCTAAAGCTTTGAGAAGTTAATTAGCACAGCAAAGGTCACACAGATAATGAATGGCTGAGCTGGGAAATAAATCTCCATCAGTCTACTCCTAAGGCCATACCCTTAATCAGATATTAACCTGAGCACACTGGTAGGTTCATCCTAATATTAGTACATATTTTGCAGGGCTAATATGAAAATTAAAAGAGATGACTATGTGAAAAACGTTGAGGAAACCATAAATCCCCTATAAAGGCTTGCTGTAATTATTTCTCTCAGTTTTAACAGGGTGAGCTCTACTGCCCTTAGTGGCCAAATCTATATTAAACCTATAGTTCATTCTTAACCCACCAAAGTTTTGTTTCCTGCTTTTCTCCATAGCCAAAGGGAAACTGAAAAGAAGCCTTTTGTAAAAAGGTCTAACACCTGCTGCTAAAGGGTGCTAAACTATTTGGATCATCAGAGAAATACAGACTCACTTACGAAAGACGTACATTAATTTGGACATTGTTTCCCTACATAAACCAGGCATAAGGAGGCAAGCAACCCAGGGAAGGCTAATTATGCTGAGAGTAGAAGCACTTATTATAAATGATCACCATGTAATTATCCACAACTTCCCTGGAGTCTGTAGCCTGAGGCTACTCTTAGAAGGTGCCCCTTCCTCACTAAGTATAAGGAGACTGAATGGCTTCAATAAGTTGAACAGGGCATGTGTCTGTATCTTATGGCTGGGTTACTGCCCCAGGGTGTACTTCTTTTTTTTTTTGGTACCGGGGATCAAACTTGGGTCCTTGCACTTGAGCAGCAGGCAGCGAAACCACTGAGCTAAATCCCCCGCCCCAGAATGTACTTCTTATGTGGTGAAGACTTCAATGCTTATGGCTGAAGTACACAACAGATGGGATGTGCGTGTGGTCTTTAGCTAGATCCACATCCCCCTTTCTATAATAGCACAATATCTTTTTGCAAGTGTGTGGGTATAACACATCTGACTTCTTTTCTTAAGCAAAGTGTATACTGAGCAAGTTAATGCACTGTGCAGGCTGTGACATTTTCCCATGAGCCTCTGAGCTATATGTTAGCTGCCAGGAGGTCCCACTAAAGACAGGTAACAGCACTTAAAAGAAGCAATGGCAGAAGTCTGGACAAGTGTGTGGAGAGACACAGACACTTCCATGAGGGCATGATTGCCTACAAGTTTAATCAATTCTCCTTGTTTTCATTCCAGCTCACATTTATCTTGGTGGCAGCAGCTACAGATTTGAAATCCAACCTCTAAACCTAGGCAATTGCAGTTGTGTTCGCCTGCACAAGATGTGTAAACAAGCTATTCTTCGAGTCTTAATTGAACTATAAGGAGCCCTGCAAAGTGCTGGCTGAAGGTCAGTCAGGGGCATGCTTTCCAGTGGTGTCCAGATGCACTTCAGTGTATGGGATGGAGACAGCTGAAACAATTACAGTCATGGGCCTGTTGTGATCATAAGTATTACAGTCAAGCTGCTATTTATTGAGCCTTCATATATAATAGCATGCTTTATGTACTATCTCATGTCCTCCTTTAAATAACACTACAAGGTAACTAATATTATTTTTACCATGTATGGATGAGGAAACAGAATAAGTAACTTGACAAAGGTTACTGGGGGAAAGTTCTAGATTGGAATCTGGGTCTGAGTCATATTCTGATCCACCAAGACTTACCAAACCTGTCTTAATCACTTTCCTTGTCACTGACAAACAACATCTAACACCTCCAACTTAGAGGGGGAGCAGTTTATTTTGGGCCACAGTTACAGGCTATGATTGCTGGCTTCAAGGCAGAAAATGGCACAGTACAGAGGCATAGTGGAAGAAAAGCTGTTCATGTCATGGTGCAAGAGGCAGAGAGTGAAGGGAGGAGTGAGGGAAAGAGATACACCCTTCCAGGTTATAGGTGAAGTGACCTGACTCTTTCCACCAGACCTCCACCTCCTAACAGCAAGTCAACTACAGCTCTCCCAATGCCCAGTCCTGTTCCTAAAGCCCTGCCCTTAAGCACGCGAGGCCTTTGAGGGACATTCTCGATATAAACCCTAACAAAACCAGAACCTCTTTGGAATGTACCTACAGAAAACACAAGGGCTTTAGGGAACCCTAAAATCATCTGAACTGATCAACACATTTAAAATTTTTGTAATCAGAGAAGAACCCTTTGTAATCAGTCTTTTTACTCACTTTTGAGTAATCTCAATATTCAGTTGCAGTACTTTCAATTCTTCTCCATAAGTCACATATTTTGATTCTTCAACTACATAGTTGATTATAGTTAAATAAGTTGATTACAATTATGGAAACTTGGGGACAAGCATTTTGGGAGTAACCCTTTTTAAAGCATTAACAAGATTTGCCAGATATACCAAAAAATGCTAGCAAGTAGTTTAGAGAAGGAATTCATTTGTCTCTAGGGAAAGACCCACAGCAAAATCATCCTTCTCCTGTGCTCCTGCCAGTCATACCTGCACAACCATCTGGAAGGAAGCCCTACAGGTGATCTCCTCCATTGCAGTCTGGCTTCCCAACACAATTTGCTCATGAGGTTACCAGATGTGTCTCTTCAGAAGCCAGTCCATTGGAGAAAGGATGTTAAGAAAGGCAGGGCAAGTATTACTTAATCAAGATGAGGGGAATAATTCTTTGCCCATGCCATGCTCAGCCGTCCTCAAATCCTGTCAATGCATCTCAATATCTCCTTAAGTTGTATCATCCATTCCATAGGGACTACAGCAGGGTACAGAGTACCACCCCAAAGTACTTTCTCCCTGGAACCTCAGAATGCGACCTTATTTGGTCTAGGGTCTTTATGGACATAATTGGTGAAGATGAGGTCATAAATCCAATGGCTAGTGTCTTTATATGAAAGGAGAGGACGTGCAGAAACACTGAAGAAAGGCCATATGAAGGCAGAAGCAGAGATGCAAATGATGCAATTGCAGTGCAAGGAGAGCCAAGGATTTCTAGGAACTGAGTGAAAGAGGAGAGGAAGACTTCTTCAGTGCCTGCAGAGGGAGCACAGCCCTGCCAATACCTTTACTTCTGGCTCACCTTTACTCACTGCGGTAGAGTTAGTTTCTGATGTTTTAAATCCCACAGTTTGTGGTGAATTGTTATAACATCCATAGGACACTAACTTGGGGCCTGCCCCACACTTGGTCCACGCTTGCATTCTCTTTTGCAGGGATTGTTCTCACTACAGCCTCCCAACCCATCTCTCCCCTAGGTGCCACCCCACACCTGGCCCTGCAATGTGCTTTACTTTGCCAACAGAGTCATCTTCTTTAAACCTGGATAAGCTCCCAAGGACACACTGATTCAGAAATTCTGCTTTCTAGATTTTTCCAGAAACAATCAAATACATATCAATTTTTCATATGAGAACATTTCTTGGTCAATTAAAATAAGGAAATATTAGAAGCAATGCAAATGACCAAATGCTTGGAAATGGTTGAATAAATTATCATACTTTCATATGACTGAACATCATATAGTCATTAAAACTATGTTTTTGAATTAACTTGTGAATATAATTGGGCTACAAATGCTGTCAAAAGCAGCATAAAACAACCTCAGGTAACAGAATTTCAGTTTTGTTTTAAACATATTTGTATAGATAAGAGATTAGACAAAAAGATATAATTTTGGTTATCTCTCAGGAGTCACTGTTGAATTTTTATCTGCTATTTGGTTTATCCATACATTGCTGGAATAATCATGTAGTATGTTCATAATAAGAAAAATAGCAATATATCTTAATCATGTCTTGCACTAGGAGCACAACTTCTCCTGTTATCTGAGAAATTATTTCTGATTTCATTTTTTCCAGATCCCCTTTTGTTGCCAGTTCAGAGAGTCCAGGTGGTTGACTATCAGAGTGTTCCATCTCATTTCCCTTTGGGGTTGCTGTAGGTGATCTGGAAGTCTGGTTTTGAGACTTATTTACGTGTTTTCTCATTTTGACTGGGCGGGGGGGCGTTGGCGCCTGCACGGATTACTTCCTCTGAGCTGGGTGAGGTGGGACAGGGGCTGGGAGCAGCAGTAGGGATGGTGACCCAAAAGCCCTTTCCTGTGGGCTGGGAGCAGCGGGAGGGATGGTGGCCCCAAAGCCCTTTCCTGTGGGCTGGGAGCAGCGGGAGGGATGGTGGCCAGGAAGCCCCTTCCTCTGGTCCAGGAGCAGTGGGATGGCAGCTCAGAAGCCCCTACCTCTGGGCCAGGAGCAGTGGGAGGGATGGTGGCCCAAAAGCCCCTTCCTCTGGGCCAGGAGCGGCGGGACAGAAGGTGGCCCAAAAGCCCTTTCCTCTGGGCTGGGAGTAGCGGGAGGGATGGTGGCCAGGAAGCCCCTTCCTCTGGACCAGGAGCAGTGGGATGGCAGCTCAGAAGCCCCTACCTCTGGGCAAGGAGCGGCGAGACTCAGTACTGTGGTCTGGTGGTCGGGTGTCCTCTGCGTCTTTGTAGTGTGGAACCAGGTGGCTGTACAGAGGAGCCGGGGCGGGGTGGGGGGGTTGTTCAGTGGATTGTTGCCTGGGCACCAATGGGAATATATCTTATTCAAAAACTTCAGAAGTCATCTGGCACAGTGGCTTTCAAGCGATTTTGACCACATCTCATAGGAGGAAATACAGTTTGCCTGATGACTGTAATAGGATGAATAATCTATACACATGAAGTTGTCCAGGTCCTTGATCCCTGGAATCTATGAGTTTGACACTTTACAGATCAAATGGGACTTTGCAGATGGGATTAAATTAAGGATCTTAAAATGGGGAAAGGCTCCTGAAATATCCAGGTAGACTCAGTGTCATCACAGGGGTCCTTATAGAGTGGAGATGGAAGGTCCAGAATGAGCAGGAGGAGATATGAGGATGGAAGCAAGAGGCTGGGGTAAGGAAGGGCCAAGAAGCAGAGAATGTGGACAGCTTCTAGAAAGTGGGAAAAGCGAGGAATCAGATTCTCACCTGAGCTTCCAGGAGCAACACGGCCCTGCTGACACCTTGACTTCACACATCTGACTTCAGAACTGTAAGGGAATAAATGTGTGTTATTTTAAGCCACTACATTTGTGATAAAATTTACCAGTCAATGGAAAGGACAATGACCAGCTGTCTCAGTTACTTTTCTCTCATTTCTAAGACAAAATACCCAACACTCAAAGTTAAAGGGAGAAAGATTTCTTGAGCTTACAGTTCATAGAGGTTACAGTTCATAGAGGTTTCAGTTCATAATTGGTTGGTTCCAAGGCAGAGTGGCCATGGCAGAGGGGAGTCACAGAGGAGAAACAGTTTATGGTGCTTACATGGTAGCAAAAGCAGCAGGGAACCTTAACAGGATCTTCCTGCACCTTTTATTTTATTCTGACTACCAGGATTAGGACAGAGCCAAACCAATCAGTGTACTGGTTTAGTAATCACAAACCCTTAATCTCAGCAGCTTCAGCCACCTTTGAAAAAGCCCCACACCTATGACCACATAAGGCTTTGGGGGGACATGTAGAACCAAACCATAACACCAGCACAAATACATGCACACTGAAACAGAAAGTTTGCAAACAGTGTTTACTATGGTATTTTCTTTCTTATTGCCTTGAGTTGAATTGTGTTCCACAGAATATATACACTGAAGCTCTAACTTCCAGTATCTCAGAATGTGGTTTTATTTGGAAATAGGGTCTTTATAGAGGCAATCAAGTGAAAATGAGGTCATTATATGGTTGGTGTCTTTGTAAAAAGGGGAACCTGGAACAGGGAGACAGGCACATCCAGAGGGAAGATGCAGTGAGGAGACACAGGAAGAGGCCCTATATATTCCAAGCAGAGATCTGAGTGATGCTGTCACAAGCCAAGGGATACCTGGGGCTCCAAGACAGGGGAAGTGTCAGGGAAAATCCTTCTCTATTGGTTTCAGAGGGATCATGGCCTGCTGTTGGTACCTTAATTTCAGATGTCTAGCCTCTACAACTGAAAGACAATACATTTCTATTGTTTAGAATCACCTAGGTTTTGCACTTTGTTACAGCAGCCCTGGGAAACTAGCCTACCTGTTCTGTTTTGTATTGTTCTTTTCTGCTCTATTCTACTTAAGAAAATATATCTCCAAATCTGCCAATTATGAATGACATCATTGGCCCCCATAGCTCTTTCCAAGCCCTTTCCAGGCTGGCCCAGTCTAATTTTCTAGTTGACCCTTTGCAAACCCAACCTGACATCTCTACTATGAGCCATCATTCCCAAAATATTGAGGACCCGGGACATGCTCTTGGCTTGAGCTGCTACTTTTCCCCTCAATGGCTCTTCATTTTTCAATGCCACCTTCCTGTCACCTCTGGTGAGATTCCCCTAGCTCTTTAGGAATGAACTTGTTCCCTGCTGTCTGACTCCAGAGCACTCTTTATTGGTCCCAATTACAGCACTTAGCATATTGTATTGTGAGATTGATTTATATGTCTCCTGGATGCCCTCCCTGGGTGAACTGCAAGTTCCTTAAGGAAGACTTTTTTCTTTTTTTTTTAATGTCTAGCATAGAACCTGGGATACAACAAATTCAAATAGAGGGTGATACTGTAATCTTCCCAGAAAAGGCATCAGTGTCTTCTCAGCATCTTCCTTGGCAACAGTACCACCCTGGGCAGAGGTTCTCCTCAATTCATAGGCCTTAAAAGCCACTATAATTTCTTAATCTATTCAATGGGTCAAAGAAGGGATGTATGAAGGGAGAAAGAACACTGTGCTATTAGAATGAAGATCACTAGTAAAAGGAATATGTACAGGACCATTATCAACAATGAACAAGATCTGGAAAGGTATGTTATGCTACAAATAGTACTGTTCCATTTCACCAGCACAGGCTTCAGCAGAGTTTCTTGGAGGAGGACCTGGGTCATCTGTGACTTCTATAGGACACACAGAAGGCCCTGGGGCCTTATTGTGCCAGATCCCAAAGGGTATCAATTTGCAGCCTACAGCACTGTCCCCAGCAGGACTGTTACCTTGTCCTTAAGGGCCACTGACTTGTCCTTATGGATGAAATTGCTTTTTCAGACATCTGTTTTGGGAACAAAGAAGTTTCATTCATATGGAAGATCTGCTTGGGAAAACAGTTTTCCTCCACAATCGCCTTATCTAAAATTTAGCCTATCTAGAATTTCCCAAAGATTTTCAATTATCTTCACATCAGCTCTCACAGACTCTCATTTTCACATTACATAGTGAATAATGATTCTTGAATTGTTTAAACCACCCAGAGCTAGCAGAAATTCAACACAGCAGTTAGGTCCCACTTTCCTTTCAACATCACAAAGTCTTTTTGCTTTGATCATGATCACCATGGGGCTGAGAGAAATGTGCTTCCCTTTCCAGTCTTGAGTCCAAGTCATTCAAAGTTATCTGATACAGGCCTTTCTTGAATTTTTGTCTCATTTCCTTGATCATAGCTATGGTGGAATGGGACATGCCTGACCGGCATGCAATGACCATTACTGATTTTCCACCTTTTGGTCCTTAATCACTTTTAATTTTGTCTCCAGGTCAGCCATGACATGGCCTCTTACCAGCAACACTGGCAGTGGATTATAGATGCTTAGGAATCATGATGAACAAAACAACATGAGATTAAATAAAACACAAAGGAAAATGATGCAATCAAGAGATACAGTAAACACAAGATGTATGAGGCTGCTACCAACTTAACATGGCACACTGTTTTACAGTAAAGATCTTTTAAAGTAGGAGTATAAAATAGTGATAAAATACAGTAAACCAATAACATAGTTATTATCATTATTAAATATTATATACTATACCTAATTGTGTGTGCTATCCTTTTATATGACTGGCAGTACAGTAGGTTTATTTATATCATTACCACCACAAACACATGACTAATGTGTTTTTCTACGACATTATAATCTCACTAGGCCATAGGCATTTTTCAGCTCCAATATACTTTTATGGGGCTACCCTTCTATATGGGGATCCATTGTTGACATCATTTTACAACGCATGACTATTTTAATAAACATAATTTTTTCTTTTAGTGAATGTATACCATTTTTCACTCAGGGGACCTAAAACAAAAATTAAAGTGGAAATGTATCATTTAACATTCAGAAAACTAAATGATTGTAAAATAAATTTAAACTTTCAAATAATGTTTTTATAAGTTGCCACATTTAATATTTCAGTAAGATTTTTGATACATCCTGTTTTAAAGAAGAATGCTAAAATATGTGTTCATTCTGTGTTGACTATAAAATTCATCATGGCCCATTGGGGCCCAGGTATGCTTGGCTAGTAGCTGCCGTTGTACTTAGTTCCACAGGGCCCTTTCCAGGGCCCACATGTTTTGTCTTCCACTTCTGGCTCTTAATGGGCTGCACTTTCCCCAGTAGTGTGAGGGGTCTATGGAAATATGTACATTGTGCCCCTCACCCCCAAGTTCATACCTCCCCAAACCTTGTTCTGAGTGTGCAGGATCATCACATTCTCTTCCCAAGTAGCAGTGAACCCGCTTCAAGATCCACCACCAGCAGCTGTGTTGTTGCCCAATGACTATATTCCCATGGACAGACAGTATTTCTTTTGTTCTTCTTACTGTGGGCCCAGGAGTTCTTTAGGGGTGGCTCCTCCTGAGAAGCTGGACTGAGCTTCCATCTGTGGGCTGGTGCCCTGCAGAAAGAGAGAGGTGGCTGCAGGCCTGGAGCTGGAAACCAGCTCTCCCTGCTCCACTATACTTAAGTACAGAACATCCTGGAGTTTGAACCTGGTCTTTCATCATTACAAAAATATATCTGTCAGGGTAGGAAGGTGGAATCTATGGTATCTAATACTTTGTTAACTTTACCTGGTAACTTTTCAGTATTTAGGCATCTGGTTTATGGACCTTTATTTGTACTCTTGCCCTGGGCCCTACAAACATTCAAGGTGAGTTGGTCTTGGTCTTAAAGAAAAAAAATTTTTTTTCTTCTCACCAACAACTTTTTCTCCTCAGAAAGGTGAGTAGAAAGTACTTATATGTGTAATTATGATGGCAAGTGATGGCTGCAGTCACTGACTACACTATTGACCTGTTGTTTTTCATTTAGTCCTCACAATAAACCAGTAGGGTAGGTACTTAGGAGAAAAGTGAGATTCAATGACATTAAGAAATTTGTTTCAGGCCACAAAGCTGGTGCTTCAGTTAGCCTTAGTTGCATAACAAATTACCCAACATTGAATGTGGCTGAAAACAGTAATGATTTTTGCCTCCTTGGTTGGTGGTGGGTTGGCTAGGCTGGTATTGCCCGGTCTCCATCCTGCAGCTGCACTTAGCCTGAGAATGGGCAGGACTGGAAGCTGGGAGCGGTGCAAGGACCCCTCTCACTTGCCTCCCAGGTGGTGCTGCCGCCTCTGGCAATGATGCCCTTGCCTGATTTTGTCTTATCTACTCACCATTGCACACCTGGTGACTGTTACTAACGTGCACTCAGATCACTTACAAGTGAGGTGAGCCTGAAGGGGTTCCTTAGGCTAAGTCTGTTTTCCACTCACAGAATGGGGATAATTATAGTCAGACACATAAGGTTGCTATAAGATTGCAGCGCAGTAATGCGAGAATAGCTCTTGGCACATTGTTAACATTTGCTCACCATTAATGTGATTGGGTTGTGGCTGGTCAATGAAGGAATGTTAATTTTTTAAGCAGAGGAGTGAAACACTACAAGGCAAACACAAGGCTTGCAAGTAGAGGAATGGAGAAGTAATTTCAAAAATTCTGATAGTAGCTTTTAAAAAGTGGGAGAGAAAATAAAAACAAAGTAATCAAAGGCACAAACCAACCCACATGGCAAGATGGCTGAGCTTTCTGTGTTAATTTTTAAGACTCCACCCTGGGGCTGTTTGCTTCTTCTTCGGGCTGGAAAGTGCTGACTGGGCTTCAGTCAGGTATCGGGGACCAGAAGGTGGAGACATACCTTTGGCTCTACAGGTCAGGGTCACGTGAGCCTAGAGGAACCCTTTAATACTGGCGTTCTGCGAGGTACTCATCACTGTCACCGGAGCGGAGGCCCACTCCTCCCTGACCTGGGCGCCGCCGAGGATCCGCCACCCGCGTCCGAGTGCACCGCGCGTCTCCTAGCGCCGCCTCCTGCCTCGTGTGAACGCTGCCGCCGTGCGTGCGTCCTGCAGCGCGACCCGACCACTTCGCCTCAGTTCCCGGGACACAAGGGGCGCCTGGCCTGCAGTCTCAGGCTCCCTCAGTAACCAGAGGGGAGGAGCGCCGTGGGTGAGGTTGGGGCGGGGTGCTCTTGGCTCGTAAGAATGTTCAAGTTGGAGGAGTGGGTATGCTCTGCGCTCGCCCAACCGAGGACTCTCCCAAAAGCACAGCTTGAGGTGGTGGCAGCCCAGGTTCTTCCAGGCCATGAGGCGACTTCTACTCCAGCAGCCCTTTTTGAGTAACAACCTAGCTGTACTGTTACTGTCTCCGTCCTCTCTGGCTCAGGACCAGGGGGAAAGGCGCATTCCTTCCCTTCCTGGGTGCTTCTCCAAGGGCTGTTTTTATTTGGGGGGCAGAGGGGAGCAGCGGAGAGTGCTTTAGATTTGAACTTGCCCCAAGGCTCCTCAGTTTAAGGGAAGGAGGGAAAGCACCAGAGGAAGTCAGTGATGCTTCTTGGAATGTGGGGTTAGGAGAGAACCAGAGGCTGGGGGAACAAATAGGACGAAGCAGCTCCCTCCTAAGTGGATTCGGTCCTTGGGTCCTGTCAGGTCAGTTTAGTGCTGGAGAAAGCCCGCCAAACCTGGGTCTCCCCATCTGAAGGATGGAGGTAATGACAAGTTTTTCTCTTTAAATACAGAACCGTTATAGTAAGAATATAAATAACGTATAGAAAATCTAGCTGGGGCAGTGCATGGCTTTTCAGGGGAAGGTAATTTTCCTTGAGTTATGATTAATGATGAAGTCTGTGGTGAAGACTGAACAAGCAACGTTTGAAACTCTGGTCATATATCATTGTGGTTACTCATGACTCCTGGGAGGTCACCTCTTGATCCTCAACTTACTCTGTAGTCCCAGTGGGTCCTAGTGGAAACTGGGGTGGTGGAGCTAGACTACTTGGGGCTGGAGTGCCGGCTGCAGGAAGCACAACTAGGGTGATGCTAGGGAGGTTACTTTTCTTCCTTAGGTTCAATTTCTCATCTCTGAATGCAGAAGGTACTCACACCTGTCTTTCCACATTCTCCTTAAACTTATACCTGAGTTCTGACTTTTTATTGTGTGTGGAATGAATAAGAAGAGAATTTTAAAACTCCAAGGAGGATGAGTTTTATTAACTTGAAAAATACCTATTAAGAAAATTGTTCAAAATGAGATTTGGAGTCGTTTTGGAAAAGTACAGTGCACTGGCTTTACTGGCATATGAGAATCTGAAGAATTGTCAAGATGTTTCAGCTACGGGACCTGGTAGACATGTGTGCCCCGTTAGTGGAAATACAGTAGAAACCCTTTATAATGTCTTTTTTTTTTTTTTGGTACCAGGGATCGAACTCAGATCCTTGCACTTGTGTAGGAGGCAGCGACACCACTGAGCTAAATCCCCAGCCCAGAAACACTTTATAATGTAATGTTAGTGTTCTTGGCAAGAAACTGTTTCACTCACCTTTTATGGGAGTTGATTGTTTGGGAGGGACATAATTGGTTTCACAATATATAGGAATCCAGCTTATAAATCAAATTTCAGTGGGATTCTACTGGGCTGATTTTATAGCCTAAGAAATAAGTGGTTTTTGACTGACAGTTTGAATGACTTGCAAGTGTTAAGAAAGCCTGCTGAGTTTACCAGTTGACCCCCTGCAAAAAATTTAGAACAAGCAGCAAACAGCGTGACTGGATTTTCTTAATGAATTTGTTTTTGTTTTTGGAAGTGTATGATTTGTTAGACGAAAAACTGTTCCCCTCATACAGATGCACAGAACAAGACAGTGAAAGAGGAAGGGAGTAGGTCCTGCCTCAGATAGCATCAGATACCTTTTTATTAGCACCTAGATACCCAAGGTAAATAGTTAATGACCTATTCTTAATAAGAAATATAGTTTGGTTTAAAGTGCAAACATCCTTATTTTAGGTTAACCTTCCCAATGGTTTTATAATATGGAGTTTTCATGGATTGAAGAACATTTAAAATAACTTAGGTAGGGAAGTTTTTCATAAAGGTGCCTCTAGAACAAAGAGTCATTAATATCTGTATTTTAAAAAGAGAGGACTGGGAAGTGACAGCTCTAGCCTAACATGTGGAAGGCCATGGGTTCCATCCCCAGCGTCACCACGCAAAATTTGTATTAGCTTGGGAAAGTGGGCAGAAAGCTAAAAGAACTGTAATTTTCTAGTCCAAACCAAGAATGAAGTTTGAACTTTTATGCTGTGATTTACAAGTTCAAAGAGTTGGGTAAAAATAGACTTATATTCCTAGGACAGTGATCAAATACTTTTTCATTAAGTTTAGGATCCTAAGCATAACTAAGCTGAAACCAGGGTACTGAGATCTCTCTCCCCTGGGAGATGTTGCAGATATAGTCTTAACACAAAATCAGATGCTTTTGTTTTATTTATTGCTTTAACTCAAATCTTGGAGGAAAGATAGGGGAATAGTGATGAGGAGTGTCTTTAGCCTGCAAAAGCAAATTCTTTTTTTTTTTGCTTAAATTCTTTTATTGGTACATTTTAGGTATACAATATGTTTACATTTATCATTGGGTGCTTGTACCTGTACATGATGTATCTTAGTTC